GCCTCCCCCAGGCCCCTCCAGGACCGGCCGGAGCTGCGGCGGGGGGCCGTGGGGCTGCCGGCCGGGCCGAGGCTGCCCTTCCATCTGAGGGATGCTGCTTTCACAGTGGATTCGATTCTCTCGGGTTCCCAGTGGCGAGGTAATTGAGGGGGGGTGACGAGGAGAGGGAGCGGAATCCTCTCCGCTGTGGAAAAGCTCGGTCACGCTGCCTGCCGCCTCCTGCGCCCGCTGCCTCATCAGGCCCAGGCCTGAATCTGGCGCCGGGGCCCCGGGGAAGGACAGCACAGGGGCCCGGACAAAGGGGCCGGGGAACCCGACCAGCATGGCTCCACCTTTCCTAAGCTGTGTGACTTCAGGCCAGTTACTTAACCTCTCTGAGCCCCAGCCTGACTGGATAGCAGTTACTGCCTTTATGGGGTTGCTGAGATATCAAAAAGAGAGTGCAAACACCCGGCGGACAGCCCCTCCCATGAGCCTGGCACCTGGGGAGCGCCCAGTAATGAAAGGTGCTAGCACGAATGCCAGGTGTGTTTTCCGCCCCAGCCTCAGCCTCCTGGGGGCAGAGCTCAGGAGGGAGCTAGCACAGGGAAGGGGGCTAACATTTGGGCAGAGCCCGCTGGGCACCGGTGCCCGCAGCCGCACTGCCCAGAAGGGAGCATTAGGACTCTCCCCAAGAGGTGAGCTCTGGAGACGGCAGGCTCGACTGTGGTCACGGGTTTGTGGTTTACAGGCCACAGTCTGGCTTCGGTGGGAAACCCTGGGGCTTTGATCCAGGCCCTGATCTTTGATCACGGTCTCTAAGGATGGGGGCTGCCCAAGGCCTTTCTCACTCAACAGCGGAGGGTTTGCCGAGTTCCAGTGACATCCAGGAAGTGTCCACGGTACCGATCAGGCTCACACTGCTGTGGAGTTTTTAATACACCCAGGGGTGTAGATATCAACTCCTGTAATCACCACAACAACCCATTTCACAGATGAGAAAACTGAGACAGAGCTCGTGACTGGCAGAGCTGGGACTCAGCCCGGAAGAGTCTGGCTGTGGAACCTACACTCTCCTTCAGCATCTTTCTGGATCCTCCCACCGCCTCTCAGAAGCAGACATTATTGCCCCACTGTGCAGACCGGTCGGCTGAGGCTTAGGCATCGAGAGCCTTGCCCGAGGCCGCGTGGCCAGCACAGGGCGCTTCCCACATCGGTGCAGCCTGAAGCCAGTCGGGGAGGTGGACTTTGCACGGACGGGACTGGGGTGGCTTTATACTCACAGTCAAGACAGTGTTCTGCAGGCGAAGGGCAGGGGCTCGGCGTGCACATGGCAGAGAGGCCTGGGCTGGGCTGGGGACCGGGCAGGCTGGCGGGTGCCGGGACCAGGATGGGCAGCACAGGGAGGTCATCCTGACTTTGAACTTTCTCCAAAGAACAGCTGGAGGCGACTGAAGAGTTCTGCGCACAGAGGAGCTGGGCGGTTAGACCCAGGTCTGTAGCCATCTGCCCCGGGAGAGGCGGGGAGGGCAGAGTGGGGCTCGGCAGGTGTTCGGGCAGGAGCCTGGGCCGCCCGGGGTCGCACAGGTGGAGCCAGGGGGCGCGGAGAGCTGTTCAGGAGGCAGCCTGGACGGGGTTTGGCAAGAGTGAGCTGGGACGACACCTCCCCGCCGGGAGCCCCTGGCCTGCCACACTGGGGGTCCAACCCCAGGGCCTTTGCCCGAGGGACAGAGAAGTGTGGCCTCACGGGCGACTGCAGTAAGGCCCCCAGGCCGGCCTGAGATGCCCTCGAAGCGACCCGAACCGCTTAACCGCCCGCAGAGGAGCCGGGTAATTCGGTTCCGTGTTTACTCCCACGGTGAGCGCCCCTGAATCTTTCATCCTGACTGCTGACTGTATCAAAATTCCCGTGGTAATTGGATCAGGTGCAGCACTTTCCATGAGGATATTAAATCAGGCCTTCTGCCCGCGTCCAGAACGATCCGTTTCAGAATATAAAGACGCGGGAGATGGCATTACCCAAGGTATTTTTCCTCCTTTAAACGCTCTCCCCCCTCTTAATCACGGCAGCTCTTTATTTGTTGCCAAATAAATTGGGCTGCCCCCCCCTCCCCCCGTTATTAACCAAAGGAGAGGAAAGATTCCTGTGGGTTGAATCGGCAGAGCAGGGGTCACAAGGGGGGCGGGGGGGCCGTGGGGTGGGCAGCAGAGCCCAGGTTAGCCCAGGTCTGTCCCACCTCTAGGGGACCCATGGGCTCAGGCAGGGCGGTCCACAAGGTGGGATGGGGGGAGCCCAGCCAGCCACTTTCCTTCCCCCCAAGTGTCTCCAGCGGGCCCTGGGAGCGTCACTGGGTGCTGGGTGCTCAGCTTGGCTGGGAGCCCCCGTCAGCCAGCCTTCAAGGTGGGGCATTTTGTGAAACACTGGAGAAGAGTATTTACAGAGGAGCACAGAGCGGCCTCATGGTTGGGAGCAGGAAAGAAGCTCAGGGACAGTTAACTGTTAAAGGAGGGGACAGTGTAAGGTCACATCAGAGGCTGATGGTGTCAAGACGGCTGCCACTGGAACAAGACGGGGGTGGTGGCTGCACAGCGGCGCACATACGCTACGTGTCACGGAAGCTACGTTTTTAAGTCGTAACTTTCATGTGAATTTCACCTCCGTTTGGAAAAGTGGCTCTGTCACAATGCTGTGTTGGCCTCCACTGTCTCGTTTTGATCATTCGACCAACACTGACGGAGCCTCTTCTGTGCCAGGCTCTGGTCTAGGCCCCAGGGTGTGACTGTGAACAACACACAGGCCTCACCCTCGGAGAGCTGACGTCAGGAGTGTGGGGACGGATGACCACGTGGTGAAAGTGCTGGGGAGAAAAATGAAGCAGGGAGGGAGGTGGGGCAGGGCAGGTGGCCTTGAAAAGATGACATCTGAGCAGCAACTGAAGGAGGGAAGGGCACCCAGGGGAGCAGAGAGCTAGGAGAGCAGTGGGGGAGGCCCGAGGACAGCAGGACCCAGTGGGATCTCAGCTTATACTCTCAGCAACCCAGGTGCCCTCGGAGTGTTTCAAGCAGAGGAGGATCTTGACCGGCAACAGGGTCCCTCTGACTGCTGGGTGCAAAGACAGGGGCCAGCCCAGGGACCCCAAGTGGGCAGCCGATGCAGTCCTTTAGGTAAGAGTTAGAGGTGGAAATGCAAATTAAAATCACAGAGAGATTCAGTACACAGCCACCAGAATGGCTAAAATTAAGGACAGACAAAGCCAAGTGTCGACATGCCCTGGGAGCAACTGGAACTCTCACGCGATGCTGTGGGTATATACAATGGCATGGCCACTTTGAAGACATGCTTGGAAGTTTCTGGCAAAGTTAAAGACACACCTACCCTATGACACAATAACCCCACTCCCAGCCATATACACCCGAGAAAGATGAGTGTTTATATTCACAAAAAGACACACAAAAGGATGCTCGCAGCAGCTTTATTTTTTACATTAACTCCTAGTTAGAAACAGCCTGGCTGCCCATCCATACAAACAGTAGTATGTCCACACAGTAGAATACTACACAGCAACGAAAAGGAGGAACCCCAGATACACACAATCACACAGATGGATCTCATATACACCGATGTCAAACAAGAAATCAGACACAAAAGTTGCATACTATGTCGATTGCATTTTGCTGAAGTTCTAGAACTTGCAAAGGGATCTACAGGGACAGGAGGGCAGCTTCCTTGGGAAAGGTGGTAATGACAAGGGAGGGGACATAGAGGAACTTTCTGGGGTGACAAATGTGCTTTGCTTTGATCCTGGTGCTGTTTTACATGTGCATATACATGTAAAAATCAAACTATATACTTATGTGTGCGTTTCACTGAATGTAATTATACACTTTGATAAAAAAACAAACCAAAAAACTGGCAGAGAGAGAGAAGAAAGAGGGAGAGAGAGGTGGTTCCAGCCAGGAGCTAGTGTGGCCGGGGGGCAGGGGGCACCAAGGGCTGGAGAAACTTTCCCTCCTCTCTGGGCTCGCTGCATGCGGCCCAGGACCCTGTCGTGCCAGCCACCTCCCTTGCCCTTTCTCGCGGACCCTTCCCCTCACTTCGGGTGGAGACAGCCCGGGTGAGCAGCTGCCCGCCTCAGTGGGGGCAGGTGGCCTGAGGAAGTGGTTATTTCTTTGGGGGACCCAGCCTGTCTGTCTAATGGAGGCGGGGCCGGCAGCAAGCATCGTGGGACCAGATTCCTGATTATAACTTCATAACAGGCACCGGCTATTCGGGACGCACTGATATTTATGGAATAAATACGACGGGATTTACGGCCGTATCTCCCTCTGATGTCCCATCTGATATGCAATTCAATTTCTTTTATTGTCTTTGGGCCTTTGCCATAGAGGAGAATGCATAAATAAATAAATATATGGGCAAGTGGCAGCCGGCAGGCCAGGCTGGGGCTGCCAGACCGCCGTCTCTCGTCCCATATTAGGCCCATCGATCACACGTTATGAAGCCGGAACCTGTCCCCTGGCTGGGACAGGGAGCAGACGAGCTGGTCACTCTCCATTATTTAGGGGCCTCGGTTGGCAGGCTGCCCAGCCTATCCTCTGCCTGCCACCAGGCCATGGTGGCCCAACTTGGGAGCCGCGCCTGCATCTCTCTGTCACTTGCTTGCAGGAAGCCCGGAGGCCCTAGCGTGCCACCCTTCCTCAGGTGGAGCACTCCACACACTCGTGCCGTGCCCCTGCCCACCTTTCCCAGGGGATCCCAGACCAAGCAGCCAAGCCTGGTTCTGCTTCGGAGCCAAAGCACATCTCCAAAGCCAAGCACTGGCACCTACAAGCTCTGGGAGCCCAGGTAAGTCACCCGTCCCCGAGCCCGTTGTTCTCATCTGAGAATTGGGGAAGCAGCCTTTAGCCCTTGGCGGCTTCATATATGGGGGGAGGTCTGCGCACAACTTGGGACACAGGGCTGGGCCCACTCCACGCACATAAGCAATGACCGGGCACTTGCTGTGCGGGGGGCCGAGGGAACTGGCAGACGACGTCTCTGTCCTCGGCGAGGCCCAGCTCTGGGAGGTCAGAAGGGCTCAGGGGCTGGGCTGGGGTCATCACTGATCCCCAGAACCGAGCCCGGCCCCTGGCCTCTCACCCCTGCTGGGGGACAGGACCCTAGCCAGTGATTTCCAATCCGTGTGCAGTGAGAATTTTTAGAACGTGCAACACCTGACTATTTCGTCAGGGGCACTGACCTCTTTCCCCTTAGACTGTCAGGTGAAAAATGACAACAGTGCCAGGTGTGAATGCCCGTCTTGAGCCATAAATGTGTAGGTCATACAATAGACTTGCATCTTTTTTTTGTATCCTCACTGGAGGCTATTTTGTCCATTGCTGCTTCAGAGAGAGTGGAGGGGGGAGAAAGAGAGAGGGAGAGAGAGAAACATCGATGTGAGAGAGACACATGGATCGGTTGCCTCCCGCACACGCCCCAGCCAGGGCCAGGGACGGAGCCTGCACCCGAGGCACGTGCCCTTGGCCGGAACTGAACCCAGGACGCTTCGGCCCGCGGGCCGGCGCTCTAACCACTGAGCCACACCGGCCAGGGCTAGAGTTGCCTCTGATTGGTTAATTCTTGGTGCCAGAAATCCTTATATACAAGTACAGGCACCTGATTTTTTTTAAAAAAGTCACTTAGGAGCAAAAAAGATAGGTAATTACTATTATTATTTTTTTGTAAATCAATCAAAATTATACTTATTTTTTGTCAGAGTGGCAAAAAATTAGAAGACATTTTTTGGTGCGCCACAGAATTTTAGTAGTTAGTTTCTGTACCACAAGATGAAGAGGTTGAAAAGCGCTGCGGTGCCCGCGGAAGGACAGCTGGGGTGCCCTGGGCCCAGCTCCCAGGCTGCCCTGCAGAGCCACTCTGTGGCCCCGCTTCATGCTGACTCCTGTACTCCGCAGCCTGAGGGGCCCGCAGCACCCCCCCCCC